CCTTTAAGAGGAGCTGCCTGGGGCTCCAGCCACCTCAGCTTCCCTGAGCCTCAGTTCCCACTGGTTTTTCCAGCCAGAAGTTATGGGGATTCTCCTCCTGGCACTGGAACCCTGAGCGGAGCACCTGGTGTGGGACAGGGACCTCCTCAGTCCTCAGGAAGGACCTTCCCAGCTGAGTTGTCCTCCTGATTTTTATCTGCCACATGTGGGTGTGGGACCAGCTTGTCCACCCTCCGCCCCTCCTACCAGTCTGGATGTGGCTGCTGCTTTAATTCCGTAGTTGTAGGACTTCCATTCAGCTTGTTTACAGGCGGTTTTGAATGATGGTTGTTCTGTAGTTTAGTTGTAACTTTGATGTGGTTGTGGGAGGACACAACACCGTGTTTACCTACGCCGCCATCTTGACGGGAATTCCTATATGATTTTAATTATTTTATTTATTTATTTATTTATTTATTTATTTATTTATTTTTTAATCCTCATCCGAGGACATTTTTCCATTTTTTGTACAGATAGAGTGGGAGGGAGAGAGAGGAAGAGACAGAGAGAGAGAAACATCGATGTGAAAGGGACATATCGAGTGGCTGCCACCACACGACCAACCAGGGTCGGGGACAAACTGCAACCGAAGTACATGTCCTTAGCGGGAACCGAACCCGGGTCTCTCCGGACCGCAGGCCGATGCTCTAACCGCTGAGCCAAACCGGCCAGGGCATGATTTTAATTATTTTAAATTTATTGAGGTTTATTGTATGGCTTCATATTTGGTCTATCCTGGAGAATGTTCCATGTGAGCCTAAGGCTAACAAGTATTTTTTGTTTTTGCTTTTTTCATCTTTATTGCTGAGAGTATTACAAATGTCCCCACTTTTATTCCCCCATTTCCCCCCTTCACTGGATTCCTGCTTTGCCCCAGGCCTTCACCACCCTATTGTCTGTTGCCCATGGGCAATGCATATATGCATATGAATTATTTGGTTAATCTCTTCCTGTCCCCATCCCTCCTTCTCTCTGAGATTCATCTGTTTCATGTTTCCTTGCCTCTGGTTCTATTTTATTCATCAGTTTATTTTGTTCATTAGATTCCACATATAAGTGAGATCATGTGATACTTTGTAGGAGACCATTTGCATGGATGGCATCCATCTTGTTAAAGTGTGCTCTGCTGTCTCCGGCCCCAGGGCGGGGTCTCTCTGCATACAGTGTCTGCATTCTTCTAGATAATTGTTTACTCCATTCTTTGCTTATCATTTGTTCCACCTGAGGTATTTACTGGAATTTGCTTCAGGTGGGATACTCATTAACTGTTTCACCTGTTTTTCCCCTATATATTATGTGAACTCCCCCTGAATAAACGAGACTTGATCAGAATCCTGTTTTGTCTCCATTTCTCGTGTCTCTTGTCCCTCCTCATCCTCACTCCCCCTCTAGAGTCCTCGTTGCTCGACCTGCGGGACGGGTCAATACTTGTCTTCCTCTGGCTTATTTCACTTAGCATAATAATCTCTAGGAACCTCTATGCTGTCTCAAAGGGTATTAGATCCGTCTTTTTACAACTGCATAGTACTCCATTGTGTAAATGTATCACAGCTTTTTTATCCATTCATCTACTGATGGGCACGTAGGCTGTTTTCAGATCTTAGCTATTGTAAATAATGCTGCTATAGATATAGGGTGCATATATTCTTCCTGGTTGGTGTTTGGGGATTCTTAGGATATATTCCTAGAAGTGGGATCACTGAATCAAATGGCAGTTCCACTTTTTAATTTTTTGGGAAACTCCACACTGTTTTCCATAGTGGCTGCACCAGTCTGCATTCCTACCAGCAGCAGTGTACTAGAGTTCCTTTTTCTCCACATCCTCCTCAGCACTTGTTGTTTATTGATTTCTTGATGGCAGCCATTCTGGCAGGTGTGAGGGTGTGAGGTGATTCCTCATAGTCGTTATGATTTGCATCTCTCTGATGATTAGTGACTTTGAGAATTTTTTCATGTCTCTTGGCCTACATCAAACTAAAAATCTTCTGCACAGCAAAAGAAAAGAAAAAAGCCAGCATGAAAATGAAAAGGAAAAGGAAACCCTCTGTATAGGAGAACATATTTGCCAATGATACATCTGATAAGGGGTTAATTTCCAAAATATACAGAGAAAGTAATCATACAACTCAACAAAAGGAAGACAAAAAATTCAATTTAAAAAATGGGCAGAGGACCTGAATAGACACTTCTCCAAAGAAGACATACAAATAGCCAAGAGGCTAATAAATTTTTAACACTTGCTATTTTTATATTTGTTATTCTCCCTTTAAGAGACAGACAGAGAGAGGCAGAGAAAGCAGGTCTAAGGTTGAATGCCTTCTACAGACAACTACAGTTAATGGACTGCTTAACAGCGGGGATACAATCTGAGAAATATGTCACTAGGTGATTTCATCATTGTGTGAACATCATAGAGAGCATTTAGACAAGCCTAGATGGTGCAGCCTACTACATACCTAGGCTATATGCTAAAGTATAGCCTGTTGCTCCTAGGTACAAGCCTATACAGCATGTTACTGTACAAAACAGCATGAGAGTAAATCAAGCACAAGAGAAAATGATATGAAATTGGGAGTAACTATAAATGGGCATGATGTTTCTTTGTAGGATGATGGAAATGTTCTAAAATTAGATGTCAAAATGACTGCATAAATATGCAAAATTCATTGACCTATATATTTATAACAGCTGCATTTTATGGTTTATAAATTACTTAGATAAAATATGTTAATATTTGAAGTTATATATTAATAAATTAAAAAATTTTTAATTTCCTAGCATCAAACTAGGTTTTTGGTGACTTAATCAGAGGTTTAAAGGAGAATTGCAAAGGGAATCATTTCTTTCTGCATGATTCAATAACAGGCAGCATCTAAAATAACTTTGTGCATAACAAAAGATACATATTCCACACTTTAAACTTCAACTGCAGGACCTTGAGAAGCCACATTCAGACCTCACTGAGGCCAAACTAGAGGGGAAAGGGTATCACTCAGAGAACCAGGATTCTGTGACAGTGGTCCCATGATGTCACCACTGGATGTAGTAGCTAGATGTGGTCTTGAATTGTCTCCCTTTGGGGATGGAGAGGCTGTGAGTGAATTTATGGTTTGAGGTGAGATGGATAGATTATGCATTATGTTTATATAGGAATTAGCTAGAATAAAGCAGCACTCCTGCTGAGGAAAACCCTACACCAGTGCATAAAAGCTGAATCTCACCCTCAGAAAGTGTCTTTAGGTGCCAGTAGCCAAGCCCACAGACATGTTTTGTCTGTCCCAGCTGTACTTTACTAGAAATTGCCCCTCTTCCAAACTAGTCACCCTCCCATTCTCATGGTTCTGACAGGAAAAATAATTTTGTACTACTCACATCCCCTCCCCTGGCCACAAATGCCTTATGATGTGGGAAATCCTTCCATAGCAATTTAGACTAGAACCAGAGAGTCAGAGCTAAAGGCAGCCCTGTCTTTTACCATGTGGATGCAGTTCCTTCCAATAAATTCCTTTTTTTCCTGAACTTAATTTCAACTGGGTTTCAGTTCCATGTAACCAAGAGTCCTAATAATTCCATTCAAGTTTAAACCATTGTCTGCTTAGATTCTAGTCCATCAGCTCTCCCACAATACACAAAGCTTAATTCACTTAAAGTCACAACTTTTACCACAGTTCAGTGGTGTCAGATGATAGCGCAGGCTCTCAGCAAAGGCCATCTCTACCCACCCTGTCACCCCTTCTAATGACAAAAGTTCAAGCAGTTCTGCTGGGAATACTAGACGAGTAAACTGATTTAGAATTACAGTTAAGAAGGTAGGGATCTGAACTAAGTCTGGGTTGTTTAAAGATTTATCTAGCTCCCAGAAAAACAATTAAGTGGTGCTGATGGCTATTATTGTAAACCAACCTGATGCAATGTGATATAAAGCTTTTGAAATCCCAAAGAAACAGAGCAATTTGTCGAAAGCCATGTTAAGAGCTTTTGCATATCTATTTTCATTGTTATTTAACTTTGGCTTAATCATATTTGGATTAGCAAAACCTGAAGCATGATGCCGTTGTCTTTATGAAAATCAAGTACGGGAACTGCTGAGAATTAAATTAACCAAGGGAATGGAGTTAACACAAATTCTCTATTTTCTTTCATAACATTTTTAATGAGTAAAAATAAGTAGCTTATTAGGCTAGATAGAGTTATCATCAAATCTCTAGCAGGCGTGGGCTACATCTCTACAAACATCTCTCCAGATAACAGAATTCAGCAATCCAGTGTTTCTGGAAAAAACCAAGGTGTTCATATATAATGTGTCACATTCAGATTTCAAAACAAAATGGTGCGATTATATAGACTTGACTACATCTTTTACTTAAGTCTAGAAATAAAACAAATACAGATGTATGGCAAATGTTAAGAATCTAACTCTCACCGTGGCCGGTGTGGCTCAACTGGTTGGAGCATCATCCTGTACACAAGAAGGTCATGGTTTCGATTCCCATTCAGGGCACATATCCAGGTTGCAGGTTCAATTCCCCGTTGGAGTGCATATGGGAAGCAACCGATGGATGTTTTTCTCTCACACTGATATTTCTCTCTCTCTTTCACTCCCTCTCCCCTCCTCTCTCTAAAATCAATAAAAACATATCCTCAGGTGAAGATTACCAAATGAAACTGTTAACAATAAAAATAATAAAACCATGTAGCCCAAAGACATTTAGGGTCAGGAATGTAACTGCTGTGTATAGGAGATTTGATTTTAATATTCATTACTGTGTGGTCCATCAAGTTTGCTTTTCCCTACTATTTTCCCTTAACTCTACTCTTGTTGAATAAATACCACCTTGACCACCACAAGTGAATGACCATTATTACACTGAGAATAACACAGGCATGAGAGCTTTCTACACGAAGACATTCAGAGATGGAGGATATTAACTACACACAAAAATTTTTCAAGTGCATCTTACCTAATATCTGAGAGATCACATTTGTTTCCAGCGATAGCCATTACAATGTTTTCTGGACCATGTTCTTTCAGTTCTTTCACCCATTTCTTCAAGGTATGGAATGAGTCCTAAATCCAAAGTATAAATCAAGCATTAGAAAGACCCATCAACACACTAGAGTTATGTGTTCATAACACCATGTACATAACCCTGTATATTTCATGCATATATACAGTACTTCAACCAAGTAGAAATACAAACCCAACACAATTTAATGGAGAAAAACATTTTCAGGAGGTTCATGTAGATCAACAAACCACCCTTATCTTGGTATAAATTTTAATATTAGCTAAATTATACTAAATAGTCTATAAAAGGTTCCCTTTTCTAATATTGAAACTTGATAAAGTTAAGCTATATAATCATATTTACCAATGTCACCCCAATAAACATAATAAAATATTTCTGCAAAAAAACACAAATAAAAAATAAAACTGAGCCCTGGCTGGTTTGGCTCAGCGGTTAGAGCGTCAGTATGTGGACCAGAGAGTCCGGGATTCGGTTTCCACTAAGGGCACGTACCTCAGTTGCAGTTTGTCCCTGGCCCCAGTTGGGGTGGTGTGGATGGCAACCACTCGATGTGTCTCTCTCACATCGATGCTTCTCTCTCTCTCTCTTCCCACTTCTCTCCCTCCCGCTCTATCTGAAGATAAATGCAGGAATGTCCTCAGGTGAGGATTAAAAAAAAAACTGAAAGCAAACAAGGAAAAAAAACCCTCTTAGACACGGACAACAATATGATGGTTACCAGAGGGAAGGGGGTAGAGGATAGAAAAGAGTAAAGGGAGTCATAATATGGTGATAAACACACAATGCAATATAAAGATAATGTATCATAGAATTGAATTGTACACTTGAAACCTATATAATTTTATTAACCGATTCATCACAATAAATTTAATTTAAAAAGTAGTAACAGAGCCCTGGCCAGTTTGGCTCAGTAGTTAAAGCATCGACCCGCAACCAAAGAGTCACAGGTTCGATTCCAGTCAAGGGCACGTACCTCAGTTGCGGTTTGGTCCCTGGCCCTGGTAGGGGTCATGCGCGAGACAACCAGTCAATGCCTCTCATATCAAATGTTTCTCTTGTTTCTCTCTCTCTCTCTTCCCCTCCCTCCTACTCTGTCTGAAGATAAATGGAGAAGAATCCTCGAGTGAGGATTAAAACAAGAAAAAAAAGTAGTAATAGCTCCATTAAAATTTTTTTTAAATAAAATCTAAAATAAAATTATAGCCTTGACTTAACATGGAAAAGGACTGTCATATGACTAAGACAAAGATCATGCTTACCTCAGGAAAGGAACACACAAACACACACAACCTTTAGAGCCTGTTTTCCTTTCTATCCTTTACTGACGACTGTCCTCCAGGAAACAAGCCAAGGCAGATACCACATTTAGGTAAAAGTGGTCAGGAACTTATGGATGGTAACAGATGACTCATTAAACCATCGGTCTTGTGCACTAAGTCAGCACTCCAGGAGTGGGATAAAAATATCAGCAAACCACTGTAGCCAGTTGTTGACATCCTGGATCCTCAATGGGATCACTAAAAATATACTTTTATGTACACAAATACACCATACATACATAAACATTCTCCTTGGTATTTCATGTACTGTGATTGAAACACTAATAGAAGATAAATATTCTATAATTATAAAGCATGCAGAACTTAAAAATAATTTTCCTTTTCTTAAAAAGATGACATTCTGGAGAACAGTACTAGCCTTGCCTCTATGAATAGAGTCAATTTTTAAAATATATGTTCACTGATGTTTATTTAGTTTAGCAGATAAACCTGAAATGCTTCCTTACATACAGATGAAATAAACTCAATAGCCAGTGTTCATTACACCTGACAATCACGTTATGAAATCTCAATCCAGGCTACTGTCAAGATTCAAGCAGTGAAATCTCTGCTTTGGTGTTTCTAAGAGAGAAAAGTCACCCTAAATGGCATCTAAATTCTAAAAGGGACATTCTTACCTGTTTAGTAATGTCATACACTATGACGGCTGCAGCGGATCCACGATAGTACATGGGAGCCAATGAATGGAACTGTTTAGGAACAATGAATAGTTTTAGGCCAAAGTGAACACACTTTATGCAATCCCAAATTAAACATAAACTCTATCCTACATCACCCCCAGAAAATCCCTGAATTCCGCCTAGAATTTTCCTAGGGTTAATATTAGATAAAGTTTTTCTCTTCGACTGCACATACTTTTATGGTTTACAGACCATGAAATTCACTCTTGGGCAAAGACCAAAAATAAATTTTATTTTATTTATTTTTTTCCTTTACTGATTTTAGAGAGAGGAAGGGAGAGGGAGAGAGAGATAGAAACATCAATGAGAGAGAACATCGATGGGCCGCCTCCTGCATGCCCCCCACTGGAGATCAGGTCCACAACCTGGGCATGTGTCCTGATTGGGAATCGAACCAGCGACCTCTTGGTGCATAGGTCAATGCTCAACCACTGGGCCACACCATTTATTTTATTAAAAAAATAAATTTTATTTTAAATGCTAATATCCTATTAACTGTCTTTCTTCTACTGTTCATCATTTATTTAATATGGTTGACCAAGGGCAATCTTATTAGAATCAGACAGCAGTAAGAAAAAGATATTTGCTAAGGAGAGGAAACTGCATAGATCACAAGACCCTCACTGAGTATTAATGAGGAACACTGCAGCAAGGGCACCTGGGCAACCGGCCTCAAATCTGGATGGCTGAGTCCCTCCACCGTGTGACAAATGGTGAGAGTGATGAGCTTCATTCCAGAATGTGAACAAAGCAAGTCTCGTTGGTCACTAGAATCATTCATCCTTAAACAGGATAATTATTCTGAGAATACATACAGATTTTATGTATATTTTAAAGAATGTATCTTTGAATATATTTGAACATATTTTAAAGGGGTTTTGAAAGTCAATAAGAAAAAGATAACCTCACACTGCCAGAATGGCTGCCATCAACAAATCATCAAATAATAAGTGTTGGCGAGGGTGTGGAGAAAAGGGGACTCCAGTATACTGCTGGTGGGAATGCAGACTGGTGCAGTCACTATGGAAAACAGTATGGTTTTCCCTCAAAAAATTAAAAATTGAACAGCCATGTGACCCAGTGATCCCATCTAGGAATATATCCTTAGAAGCCTGAAACACCAATCAGAAAGAATATATGTACCCCTATATTCATAGCAGCACTATTTACAATAGCTAAAATCTGGAAACAGCCCAAGTGTCCATCAATAGATGAGTGGATAAAAAAGCTGGGGTACATTTACACAATGGAACACTATGCAGCCGTAAGAAAGAAAGATCTCTTATCCTTTGAACCAACGTGGAGGGACCTGAAGAGTATTATGCTAAGCGAAATAAGCCAGTCAGAGAAAGACAAATACCACATGATCTCACTTATTTGTGGAATATAATGAACAAAATAGACCCAGAGATATAGAAAGGAGTATGATTCAGACTGACAAACCTCAGAGGAGGAGGGCGGGAGGGGTCAGGGGAGATGAGATAAACCAAAGAACTTATATACATGTATGTGTAACCAATGGACATAGACAACAATGCTGGGGAGGTGGGGGTCAAGATGGGGAGGAGAAACATTTGTAACAAAAATAAATTAATAAAAATTGAAAAAAAAGAAAAAGATAATTAAGCTCAACCAAAAAATGAACAAGGGAAGAGATATAAATTGCCAATGAATATTTAAAACATATCCAATTATAATAAAATAAAAGCAATAATGAGGCATTTATTAATTTATTAAATATTCAAAAGATTTATCATATCCAGTTGGAGTGGAATTGGTAAGGGAGGCACTCTCGTAGGCTGCACGGGAATGTATTTTAAGACCTTCTTATAAAAAGATGCTCAAAATCATGTGACATTTGTCTTTTTCTGCTTGGCTTGTTTCGCTTAGCATAATACTCTCCAGGTCCGTCCATGCCATCTCAAAGGATAAGAGATCTTTCTTTCTTATAGCTGTACAGAATTCCATTGTGTACATGTACCACAGCTTTTTAATCCACTCATCTACTGATGGACATTTGGGCTGTTTCTACTCCTTAGCTATTGTAAATAGTGCTGCTATGAACATGGAGGTACTTACATTCTTTCTGATTGGTGTTTCAGGCTTCTTAGGGTATATTCCCAGAATTGGGATCAGTGGGTCAAATGGCAGTTCAATTTTTAATCTCACTTATTTGTGGAATATAATGAACTAAACAAACTATTGAACAAAATTAACCCAGAGACACAGAGGTGAGGTACAGACTGACAAGCCTCAGAGGAGGGGGGGTTGGAGTGGAGAGAGATAAACCACAGAACTTACATGCATGTGTGCATGACCAATGAACACAGACAACAAAGCTGAGGATGGGGCGGATGGGGGAAGGGGAGGAGGGTGTCAATGGGGGAAAAATGAGAAACATCTGTAACAAAAACAAATTAATAAATAAAAAATTAATTAAAAAAAAAGATGCTGAACATTATTAATCATCAAGGAAATGCAATTCAAAACCACAATGAGATATCACATCTATTAGGATAAATGTTATCAAAACAAACACACATAAACAAACAAACAACAAAATATAACAGTGTTAGTGAGGATGTGGAGAAAAGGGAACCTTTGTAAATTGTTGGTGGGAATGTAAATTTGTACAGCCATTATGGAAAACAGTATAGAGGTTCCTCGAAAAACTATAAATAGAACTTCCATATGATCCAGCAATTTCCTTTGGGGTATATACATAACCATAAGAAATGAAATCAGTGCCCTCAAAGAGATATCTGCACTCCCATGTTAATTGCAGTATTATTCAGAATGGAAAAGACATGGAAACAACCTAAGCGTTCATCAGCGAATAAATGGATTTTAAAAATGTGATGTATATATACACAAGGAATATTATCCAGCCTTATAAAAGAAGGAGTGCCTGCCATTTGCAACAACATGGATGAACCTGGAGGACATCGTGTTAAGTGAAATAAGCCAGACACACACAAAAAACGGCATGATCTCACTTATATAAGAATCTTAAAAAGTCAAGTATCTAGAAGCAGAGAGTAGAACAGTAGTTATGAGGAGCTTGGGGAGGATGGAAGGATGGAAGATGCTGGTCAAAAGGGACAAAGTTGCAATTATGTGAGGTGAAGAAGTTTTAGAGATATAATGTACAGCATGATAACTATGGTTAATAATAATGTGTTAAATCTGGAAATTTGCTAAGAAACTAGATTTGAGGTGTTTTCATTACAAAAAAGAAGTATGTTAATTACACTCACTATAGTAATCATTTCACTATGTATATGTACATCAAATCATCATATTGTGTACCTGAAATATAAATGTTATTTTTTAAAAAGAAAGGCCTTCTTTTAAAGCCACTGTCAGTAATTATATTAAAAGTTTAAATGTGCATACTGTTTGAACCAGCAATTCCACTTATAGGAACATATACTGGCGTGATCTTCACACACACAAAGCTTCTCATCTCTGTTGCACATGCGAGCAAATATTTGAAATCAACCTAAAGGTTAATCATAGAGAATTCACCAATGGTATATATGTATGTAGTGGAATATTCTACAACAATTATAATGATGAGGAGGATTTTATTTATAAGAAATGGTATCTCTGACATACTTTTAAATGAAAAAATAGACTGAAAGCAGTATATGCAGCATAACATAATTTAGGGTTAAATGTGCATGGGTGTCTGTGTGTATAGGTATAACATAATGTTTCTCAAAATGCGAACAGTGGGATTGCTAGTGATTTGAACATTTTCCTTACAAGAGTGTGAATAGCATAAATTTTTACACTGATTTTTAAATAAAATGATTTTTAAGCTTAAAAAAATTTGTTTTTATTGGGATAAGGGAGGGGACAGGGAGGGCAGGAAGGAAGGATCTGAAGTTCTTCCATCAAACAAAACCATTACTCATTCATTTTTATTTCCCACTTAATACTTATCATGGAATAAGTAACTGCCAAACTGAAATGATCCCATTTGGAAATCTGAAGCACATCAGTTCCCAAGGTTCCCCTTTTATTGCTCCGAAGAACGCTAGTGCGGCTCAGAGTGAAAGGAAGCAGGCGACTCTTGCCCAACTCCATGCCCTCATGCAACTCACCACCTTAAAAAGAAATTGCCGTGGTGCCTCTGTGGTTTTCAGGCTGGATGGAGCTCAGGATGAACTCAGGAGTTCCCAGCTGAAGGGCCTGGGCCACCTGCCAGGACCCACCAGAGGACAGCAAGCCATTTACCACGTGTGCCTTTCCAGTCACTGAATGCCCTACACTGTGCTTGTTATAATATTAGACATCAATAAAACTATTTTAATCCATCCTTTGGCAATTAACTCCACAAATAGAAAGCAAAATCAAAATTTATGCCCAAATGGAGAAAAAAAAAGCAATGTATTTTTGAAACACTCCTACTTTGGTAAGGGTAGAGAATGCATATAAAGTGTTATTTTAGCCCAATTATATAAAATGTCCATTTTTTCAAAACACCCTCCATATAAGAATGGTCTACTTAAACACACCAAACAGGAGAGTCAGCATAAAATTTATCTCTCAAAAATCAAGGTCCTTGTGGACTCAAGCACAAAGAGGAACACACTGTGGCTATATCTTCTGAGACAGAGTTCATTTTCAGCCATAAGACCATGAACTGAATCTAAAACGGTCACTGGTGTGCCAATCTCATTAATTATTGAATAGGTCTTTGTATATAATGCATTACTTGTTCTCTCCTTCCTCCAAATGGAATCATTTTGAAATAAATCTGTTGATGAAGCCACTTAAATGACTTTATTGCCAGGAACTTGGGAGTTTTAATGACTTAAAAGTTCACATCTCAGTTCTAAAACCCAATAATGCATTGACCAAAGGATGTTTGTGGAGTACAGTAAAATAAATCATTTCCAGCCTACAATGTGCATACTTTCCCCCATACAAATATAAAACAAAAGCACCACAATCAACCTCAATACTCAACATGACATAATTCAATTTCCATGGGATAAGAA